GCTAGTCTTGAAAAAAAAAAAAAAAGAAGAAGAAAGAAACAAAGAGTTTGGAATCGAATCCTCGAGCGAGCACTGGCAGTGAGACCCTGGCGCATTTCCGCTCGTTCATTCCTAAAACAAGTCGTTTCTTTGCTCCCTATCTTTTTCTCTCCAACTCTTCTTGCCTCTTCTTTCTGCCAGTGACACGTAAAAGTATCAGAGTACACCTAGTACCGATAGGTGTGTACGCGGGAGGAAAACGAAATCGCATTTTCTCCCGAATCCTCCTCCACCGATTCTACGTACCCAATTTGCATGCACACACATGCATGTACTTTCGCAAGCAACTTGTGTAGGTACATGCTAGTCGGAAGGTATAGATAACGGTACGAAAACTACAGCGCTTTTTCTATCTCCCTACGGCTCCATAAGTGCACCACTGCTGCTACTGTTTGGTTTGGAGCTATTTTTTGCCCTCCGATCCGCAGCTGCAGCATAGCATCGCCATCGTTTGCTTGCTCCTCCCCTTTGTATATCCACCCCACGGTGTATACACACAAATGTGCGCCACTGCTGTTGTTTTCTAGTTTACTAACCACTGGCGCGTTTCAGCATTTCTCGAGTCCAGGACGCCTCTCTCGCGTCGCGTTTCGTCGTAATTGGATCACAGTTTTCCGCTTTTTGTATGTGTTAAAATCTCCAAAAACTAGCGGGATAGCTGGAGAATATGAAAATTCGAAACAAAGGGTTTTGCTCGGCGTGCTCTCTTTACATTCGAATTCTCGTGTTCTGCGCATGGGTGCATGGGTCATTGTCTTCGGCTTGGTCCGGTATATTTTTTTTTTTGTTTCACTGAACGCCTTTTTACTTTCACTCTGGCAGACGTGTGGAACTTTTTTTTGTGTAAAATTAATGCCCTACTATTTTAATAGTAGTCAAATCTTACTTGCAAATCAAGTTTTTTTTGTGTACACAAATGGCGAAACTACAATTATCATGGAATTCGGTAATATTTAGGTACCATCGTTTTTTGGCATATATTTTTTTTTTATGAAAATAAAGAATATGATGCAGCTACTGTATTGACTGTACAGACTACCTACTACATAGGTGTTATCAATTAATTAAAAATTCAGCACAGACACAAACTCGATAAACGCAGTGGCCGAACCTACATGTAATCGCAGTACCTCACGTCTTATCGAGATAATCCTCTCGCCATGGCTCAGTCGACCCTCCGATCTTCTGAGCTACTTATCCTTTGAACTATATTGCATCTAAAGCAGAAACTGTAGCTATGTCCTACTAGCTGGTGCTGCATATAGCCAACATAATGTCGTCAAGCTAATGGAGCTTCTCGAAATAGCTTATGTCTTGCAGGATTTTCGTGGTGCGTTGCGTGATACAATAGTATTTGCTGAGAGGAAAATAACTTACAAATAACTATGCTATAGAGCTATCAATTGGTAACATTTTCAATCATGAAATGTATTGCTTGTCCAATTTCAGGTTGTTGGAAAAATTAAAGATCCACATCAAACTGGGGAGTATACGTTTTTACCGCGCATTAGGTGCACAGATATCATACTTTCCAGTGGTTGAACAACAACACATACTGCAGTTGAAAAATAAAAATAAGAAAGTTAAAGAACGAGGTACACTTGTAACGCAGAGTAAAAGGACGATTCGAGCGTTTTTTCCGTTTCCCCGCACTTTTCTCACTTTTCTACCCTTCCCTGTAAACTAATACTTCACGATGAAAGCATTGTTACATCCTCGTAAACCAGCACACATGTGGTTTTTTAATACATTTTTACGTTTTATTACTACGTCATTTAGCCAGCTATTTTTTGCCTTTTATGATACTTGTAACGTCTCGCATATAACCTTAACTCTCACCTCCTCGCTCGTATTTCACAACAATCGAGTAAAACACTTTTTATTAGGGGTATGCTTAAAAGCTCTCACCACGATAATTCACTGTCTCTTGCTACTGTACTACCTTCTGCACCCCGTACTATATATGTTTTCCTTTTCTCGGCAAAAAACATCTTCCCGCGACGCGTAATTTTTTTTTCTACTTTCATCGGTTATAATTGTAAGTCTCGCGCTTAACCACGACCAACAATTTTACATGTAGTGGAAAAAAAAAAAAATATCAGGAAATGGCTTAACGGGCCATTGGCCATCAGTGCAATTATAGGAACGCGTGGAAGAGCCGAGGGCTCACTTGTCCGGCAATTATCGCAACAACGTCCCGGCAGACCGCGAACTCGCTCGTACGGACATCCTCCCCGCGATATACCTACACACTACTTGTACTATGACCACATAACTTTTACTGAATGTGTGTACGTGCTACGTATGAATTCGGAGGGGAGACGAGCGTGTGAGGCGCATAAGCCCATCGTGAATCAGTGGGTCATAAACCGAGCACCGTACTCGGCGAGAGCGCGGGTGGGTGTGTGTTTTATTTGCTTTGTCTCTAGGTGGCTCTCTGAAGTTTGCTTGGTCACGCTGGGCTGCAACACATCAACGAGTCTCGGAGATAAGGGAGGGAGTTTCTGCTGATAACGCGTTACAGTGTACTCCTATTGCCGGTGGTACTCTGGGTTAAATATTAGCTCCGTGACTTGTTTTGGTTTGCGATGTGGTGGAACAACTCAATTTCGGGCGAAGTGTGTGGCTTTTCGATCCTCGTCTCTCAAGGAGCTTCGAGAAAACCATGGAAGAGCTTTTTATTCGACGAGTGAATAGGTATATGAAAAAAAAACACGAGTGTATGTACTCGTACGCCACTCCCGAGGATGAATCTCACCGTGAAAGGAAAAAAAAAAAAAAAGCTGTGTGAGCACACGCGCACCGGAGGGAGAGGTAAAAGCTTATCGCATACGTGTACGCACGCTTCGTCTGCGCGTTTCATCTTTTATGCTCATCCAAACTCATCTACCCCGCACTCATCCCCCTATACTCTACCATTCATTCGGACCGAATCGAGCGTGAGTGCGCAGATCTCTTCTATTTCAAGAAGCCACTTGTCGAGGACGACTTGCGAGTTCTTGCGTGGGGTGATCGGAAACAGTTGTCAGTCTTCTGCAACGCGCGTAATGATGGCTCGAGGATATGGGGAGCTCTATCTCAAATTTTGTTGGGAACTAAGTTTGTTTCGTCACTTTGAAAATTCACGTGTCAGACAACGTCATTCAGGACTATTGCTTGGTTGTTTTTATACAAGTTTAAGGAGTACGCGCGTCTTTACAATTTTTTTTTTTTTGCTAAACAAAAGATTTATGATTAAATGCTGCAAAAGACAAAAAAAAGCATATTCCCGAGTTAGTGATTATTCAAAACAAATGTGTGATGTAAGGTCAGAGAGCTTAACAAAAAAAGAATTTGGAAAAATTATCGACATCCATGTATATCATCCAAATACCTTTATACTGGCACCACTGGACTTATTGCATAGTATGACACTGGTCGTACCAAGTTCATATGAGCTTTACTTTATATTCAGCAGCTACATAATACCACAGGGTGTAGGGTAACAAGGGGTAAAAGAGAAAAAATAGTGTTGGTGACACAAGAGTGAGAGGACGTGCAATTAATTCTGTCATACAATACGCGCTGATTTATACAGCTGGGTTGAGTAAAATAAACTTTTACAAAATAATTCACGCGTCGTGACTTGTGGGTGGGAGATTTTTTTCATTTTGAAAATTCATTCGGAAGTTTTCAGAGCAACACGCTGCAGCGTCCCGTAAAATTTAATACTCCCTCGGATGAAATGGCAAAGGGTATTCTAGAGTTGCTTCTTTCGGCAACAAAAAAAAAAAAAAAAAAAAAAATGTCACTGATGTCAAAGGCAGCCGTGGCTCCTTGTATACACCGTTGCCTACACAATGTGACGTACAAAGAAGCGTGGTGGTTTCAAATGGATTTTCATTATGAAACTCAAGGTACACATAATCTCGTGATACCTTTTAAAGCACTCTCGATGTAAAAATCTAAAATTCTAGTTTACTGGTGAACAATTTTAATTAAAAAAAACTCTGATTTTTAAGCACAAAATCGTTCTCAGAGAAACGAAAATTCGTGTACCATGAACAGCATATATTTAAAGGCCTCGACAACAGAGAGAGAAAGAGGGAGACTCTCCCTTACGTGGAGAAGCATCGGCCTCCAAACTTCACCGATAAACCCTGAAACCCAGCAGAGGCCGAGAATCTCTCGCTGCAGCTTATAACACGCGCACAAAAAGGGGGCCATCCGCCGTTACGTGCAAACGCGAGAATCTCTCCCATCCTCTATCTTTTCTTCCCTTCGTCGTGAATAGCCAACCCTGGCATTGTCCTAGAAATGAAAGAAACAAGCAAAGTAAAAAAAGAAAAAGAAAATCGCGTGCCTGCGAGCGTAGCCGGTTGAATCGACGTCAAAGCTCGCTTCGCTTCACAGAACTATATATACGTACGCACACGTTATGCGCGTGAAGATTAGGTACCCGCACGCGGTGAGCGTTACCACGTTACACGCGAGAGATAGTCCAAATGAAACGAAAACCCAAGACCTTGTTAATAACATGCCGCTTTTCTAGTCATCCTTTTCAAGGCTCTCTTTTATTTTTTGAATAAAAATATTCACCCTCGTATCTATCGTTGAGGGTCTGTAGATACAGCTGATACCTTGTTAGGTCTCTTGTTAGTGGATTTTTGTTTTTGGATTTTATTTTTCCCGGGGTAACACTTGTGTGACGAAACATTATCAATTGGGGGATGGTTTCAATTTCGATGCTGGGTTTGGAATGAAATAATTTGTGGTAAATGTAACATATATTGGAGACACCGTCAATCGATATCTAGTATGAAAGAACAAAGAAAAAAAATCTTTAAAGTATTAGTCGTAAAACAAAAAAAAAAAAAGGACGTACCTATGGTATACTCTTGTAGTATCGGGGCCCAGGGTAAGGGTGACATTCCTATCAAGGGCGCAAATAAAAGAGGGGAAGAAAAAAAACTGCTACTCACCGGTGGGTGGTACAAAAGCAAATAGGACCTTCCAGAAGATCGTGATGAAGTGCATGAGGTAGTCGCCAACCGAAGGCGACGAAGGAGGCCTGGCCGGAGCGTCAGCACCCTCCTCGGCGCCTCCCTCCTCGTCGTCGTCACCACCGCTCACCGTCAACGCTTCCGTGAACTGCTCCTTCCACGAGCTCGTTCCTGATACACAAAACCAAAGATTATGTTGTAAAATTAATCTTATTCACCTTCCATCTCCACGATGTACGTATCTCTACATTTTCAGGGGTGGATGTGTTATATATCCAATCACCACTGAAAGGAAATTTTGTTCGATCATCTCTCCCTCCCCACATAGTGAAGACAGTATCGAAAAACAAAGGTTCTGTTCGTCCCGCGTGTAAACCACCTTAAAAAAATGCCGTACAACAAGCAAAAGAAGGAAATCCAAGCAGCAGTTCGAAGGGCGTTCCTCCGGCTCGAGCGTGCCGCGACGAATTGAAAACCTCTGTTCTCTGCCAGCGCGTCGAGGTATTTAATTTCAAGGGCGCGTCTCGCCCAACTCAGGTATTCTGATCGCGAGGAGGGGCTCGTGAAAGAACCCCGGGACGAATTCTCGAGTGGCGCGCTCGCGCGAATACAAATCGCGCGCATTAGCCTCCTCTCCCGCTCGCTCGGGTATTCAGGACGCGTCGGTGGGGGGATCTTTCGCGAATATCCTTCCTAGGGGGGGAGGGGGTGTTTTTTTTCTTCCCGGCGATGGGATTTATCAGCTGGCTTCCTCTTTGATGGAGGCTGGGCTTCGTGGTGTACACGTACGGCCGAATCTTGCTCGAGCGCTTTCGAATTCAGGATGAAGCTTCTCTTCCGTGGAAGACGAAAAAAAAGAGGGACGGAGGGCCTTTTCGTGATCCCTCTATTCCTCTACCCCCCCTTTTTTTTTCCTCGGCACTCCAACTTTAGCTGCTTTTTGGTTCGTTTGTTTTGTACGCGCTTGAGAATTCACTTGTGCAATTTATTTTGCAAATCTAGGGGGAAAACGGAGGTGAAAATTATGCATCAAAGTCATAGTTTAATGAAAAAGAAATAAAAAGAAAAAAAAAAACAACGACGCGTCCGTAACTTTCGATAGTAGCTGGGGGTAATTACGAGGAAAGGACGACGTGCCCGGCATCTTGGCATCGGGCCTCTGGTACGTAAGAAATCACGTCAGAGACTTTCCTGACTCGTTCAGAGGCCGTTGACCTTATTATCTCTCGTACGTGCGTTGACTCTCGTGTTTACTTTTAACTGCCAAAGGGAAAAAACGTTCCCTTTAGAGGCACGTTAACTGCCATTAGTACTTTTTCATGGGTATCATATTAATTTATCATTATTATATAATTCCAATTAGTACCTCTATTTGTAAAGATTCAAGGAATTTACACAATTTGAGGTAAAATAGTAAGTTTAGAGCTATATAAGTGAACTGCAATGAAATTGATATTTTTCATAAAGTACTAAAGTAACAATGATTTATTCATGAGCGATGATTATTTGATCAGCAAAGTCGAGCCAATTTTTACCAAGTGTTGAGCGGAAAGTATTTCATGAGCTTGCAATCGTAATATTCGAGCGAGAGCTTACATTGACATTAATGACTCTTATTTTATAAATGCGTGGATTTTTTTTTTTACCTCTCGGAGTAGAGAAATGGGAATGAAATAGTTAGTATCTCACTGACGAATCGAGGAAATTCCTCGTATCATATACGCGTACACATCAAAGTTTCGACGTCAAAGGAGCAACGGCAATGTCGAAGCGACGCCATGCCAGTTTTGATATAGCAAAGACGAACGCGTATTCGGTATGTATGGCGCGTTTGATACATCGCTGCGTTTTGCATAACTGAAACTCGCGTCTATCGACCATCCGTATACCTCCATCTCCCCAATCTCGAAACATACAATCTCGCAAATCATAGATATCGATGGGAATTAGTTTTTCAATATACCCCCACCCTCACACGGAGTGCTCATTGCTGTAATGAAATGCCCACGATACTCGTGGCGAGAGCGTATATATACACCATCTAATTCATCGCCGGTGGTTGTAACAGATTTTCGTGGCACTGGTCGCAGTTACATTTGTAATCCCCTCCACGGCGGACGAGCTGATAAATAATCATCCACCAGAGTCGGTCCCTTTAAATCACACATTATCGATTAGAAACGAAATCCCGAAATGGAGCGAGTTCGCAAATCCTCTTAGTACCGGCGAGCGAAGAAGAAAACGTAGAGTGGTACATCAGCCATTGGAAAATCCGTACGTAGCAGCGAAAGTGCAGTCGTGTTTGACGATGCTTTTAAGCACCCGTCGTGGGAGGAGGGGAGAAAAAAAAAGTTTAAAAGGCGAGCTAATGGCGGGAATCGAAATCGATCGTCTTCACTACCCGATGGGCCGTAATTCCTCTTCATCAGTCCCGAGCCCCCCCCCCCCCGGCAGCTTTTGAGCGACCCACTGTGATGGGCTTTTTTCCCACGGCAACGCAATTGATCCGGGACACGTTCATTTTAACCCTTCGTGCGAGAACATTTTCACTTGTCTCTGACTCGAATCATCCAGTTCTTTTTTTTTCTCCTTCTGGCAATTTAGCTCTGGCAACTCGGGATTCACCGGTTCTGCCCTAAAAATAGGCCGAAGAAAAAAGGAGTAGTTATCGAGAAGCTCATCTCTCTTTCGAAAAAAAATCGAGTTTCCGTGACAAAGAACTTATGGGAGGCACACACTTGTTTCATATATATTGCAATGACTTGAGTCGAAAATATCATCCCCATCCATTTTTGGAAGAGACGAATCATCGATAAATTACATACGCTCCATTAAAGAATGTCCACTGACACCGGTAAGATTAAATTACTCCCAAAAGCAATATCTTACACTTGGAGCTACATTTTTCCGCGGATTCACGCACTCGATTTTACCTTCTTCCTACCCTGTAACGCGTGAGGGGTGGCTTTTATTACGTAATAAAGATGCTGGAGAACCCATGGATGTATGAAAATTGTTTACATCCCTCCGACGGAACTTTTTTAATATACGAAGAGGAGGGGCAACGTGGCGTGTCCTCATGTTTGGTGCTTTCAGTCAATAAAACTTGCAACGCGTTCCCCCAGTTTATTTTATTCAAACAGTATGCATCCAGCATTTAAGGTACACGCCCGCACGAGCTTTCCTCGCAAATCGTCCCTTAATGAAACAACAATTGCGATGTAAATTTTGAATGCCGCTTCGTTTACACGAGAAGTCGAGCCGGTGATTAACCTGCCTCGTAATTACGAACTCTCATAGCTACAACTATTTACTAGACGAGCACACTTTGGTTTTCAGTAAATACATATAATCGACCGACAAAAATAATTATTTCCCTCCACCAAGCTTTGATTGTTTATCAGTTATTGAACTAATTAAAAGTCCAAAGTAAAAAAAAAAATGTTACAACTCACCCAGTATGAGCGACGCGTTGGCTCTCTGCACGAGCTTGTCCACGGTATTCTTGAACTCCTTGGACTCCTTGATCCTGATCTGAGCGCGGGCAATGTCGCCGAGCCTCGGCCTGCCCAGCAGTGCCATTTTTTCCTCTTCGGTCCGCTCCTCCGGTGCCTTCATCTCCGCTGCCGCTGCCAGTCCTGCCTCGGCTGAAAGCAAATTTTTTTACATCTCCGTTATTATATCCAATTTTTCCAAAAGTATAATCTTCTTTCTTCCTTTTTTCTTCGATCATTGGCACACGGTCAGGTGTATGTATATATTTACAAGGGGTTCGTTTGTTTTTTCTCGCGTTCACGAACACGTTCGTTTTGTCCTTGTAACGAGTGTTGAGCACTGATGGACGTCTCTGATCGTAAGGGACCGATTGATGAAGAACTTGACCGAAGAAAATTTAATCAAATCGATCTTTGTACAACTAAAATGTTCCCAAATAGGTTGCGAAGTGAAATTTCGAAACAATTTGACCGTCGGACATGTTCAAACTTGTATTGTGGAACGCGAAGGGAAAGATTGACCGTCAAGAAAAACTCTCCAAGTGTACCAACCAACATCTACTAATGGGTGTAGATGGGGGATAGGGAGGTTATATTGCAAAAGTACACGGACGGAAAGGGGATGGCTGGACGATTAATCGAAAACGTGACCCGAGTCAGCTCGTAAGGCATCAGTGCCCAAAGTGTACAACACGACCACCCAACCGTTGTCCTCGTCATCACCGTAAAGCGCGAGATGAAGGGAGGAAAATTCACGCCCGTCCACGCCATCGATTGCAATATCGCATGAATGATACGACGGATCGGAGCGGAATTTAGTGGATGTCTGACCGTGCGCCGACTCGTACTACTTGATCGGACAATTTTTTTTTTTTTTTATTCTAGCGTGCGCATGTGTTGGTAGCACAAGCTCTAAGGTTGCTTTTTTTTATTTTTACACTCCAAATTTTTGCTTTGTTACTTCGATTACTTATTGTACGGATGAATTTATGTTTTGGCGGTGTATTAGTTTCTACATTTAACGGATACTTTGGCAAATATGAAAATTTTTAAAATAAATATATACTACTTGAAGCATTTGGCGTTGTCGAGCTAGAATACAACATGTGTATGTACTGTCAAGCTCACGGGTATACTTACGGAATAAAAAATTGGCTTTTATTTTTTTGGACAAGAAAATCGTTAGAGGGAATCCATGATTTTATTATAAAGCCTCCGAGTCCCACTGACGCTCTCGAAAGCAGGGCACGGAAACAAAGACAATATGAAGTAGTAAAAATAATTCTCCGGTAAGTTATTATACTAGTTATTCTTGTTGTTGCTCATGGAGTATGTAAAAGTGAGTATTTTGTTAAATATTTAAATCGAGAAACTTGTGAAGGGTGTTTTGGGGGGTGGATGAACTAAATAATATTTCTCCTCCCATTTTCAGCCCAAACGAGGCGTCAAACGGTGGAAAGTAAAAAAAATTTATCGAAAAGCACTCGTAAGAACTCGTTAAAGCAGTCGCTACATCGAGCCGACGAGAAAGAGAGAGAGAGAGAGAGAGAAAGAAAAAAAGAAAAATACAAAATTACACCCCAGAACCTAATTTACAAGTTTCAAAGTGGCCTACTCGTTTCTAGAGCAGGCGAAGGTGGTTTTTAATTCGGAAACTTTGGCCTCACATTCAAACACCACTTTGCACGGCCTGTGAACCGTAAGTTTCAACCTTCGTTGCGGGGGGAAAAAAAAAACAGCCCAACCAAGCCTCGATCGATACAGAACAACCTCCTCCACATTGAAGTCCAAACTCGCCCCGAAAGTCTCTTCTCTCTGTAACTTTGCACGCAAACACAATACATTTACAGATCCGGTGGAGTAAACCGACTACGAGTCGTCGCTTCTGACACCAGCACTGATTGCGAGTAGCGGGAGTGACAGTGGCTCTAGCTCTATTAACGCCCTACGGGATGGCGCGAGTCTACTCGTTTGCAGGCTACCACCGCGTCCTCTCGGCTGTATTAGGTTTCAGTTCCGCTGCGCGCGTACGCGCTAATGACTAGCTCGTTCCCTCGCGCCGATTACTCTACTTTCCTCCCTCCCTCGTTTTGCGGTCACTCCTCCTCTCTAGCGCTGATCCGCGCTGTTATCGAAATTCACGTGCAACCAGACGTAGAGATACCGGCTGCTGGAATCATCACAGCTGCCAACAAATGGCGGAGTTCACTTTTGCGCGGAGCTCTTTCGTCGATTGCTTTTGTTGCTCACTTGGTGGGCTGATGATCGGTTACTGTATACCGTTCTGTTTTCAGCGCTAATGAAAAAGCGGAGCAAGTACGTATCGTGCGATGACTCGCAGGGAAATTTACATTTTACATACACCTGTTCATATTGTTTGATCTCTCGAAACGTGGAAACATGGAGCCAACATGGAAACTCGACCGACGGTCCAACATGATACGAAAGAGGTGGTCGACGAGGTGAGAGTTGATTACGTGTTTGTTTTAAAGTAAAGGTTTAATCAATCATTTGGGGAGATGAAAGCTTTGTACGATGCATTTACTTATTGCATGTACATAATTAAAATCGATATTACGATAGAAAGTGAAAATGCATGGATTAAGATCAACGGTAATTTAATTTATAATTCATCTTCTCGTTCCAGCTGTACAACGAGCCGTAATTAAAAACCAAAGCTTAGAGAGAGCCAGAGACCAAGAGAAGATAGGGTTGTAGATTTCTAAAAATGCCAATCCCAAACTTGACCCAAGTTTTAATCCTTTGTTAGTGCATCGAACGAGAATCCCCTCCATCGCGCATCGGTATGTTCGAATGTGTAGTTGTAATTTAATCAGTTTCGACTGAGTGCAGCGGTGTTAAATTTTGAGACGAAAACACGCGCTCTGGGGCCAAAAACCACTAAAGCGTCGTGAATTCCTCCAGAGGTAGGCTTCTTTTTGCATTATTTATAATAGCGAGCGGAAGAGAGGGAAGGAGAGGAGGAAAAGCCAGATCCAAGGGCTCTCTGTCGGGCTTCGCGATCGTCATCCCAGTAGAGGGGCACAGGCTGCTGTTGGAGCTTTTTTTTACTGTTATTACACGCTGGCCCCAAACTTGGGTGCTTGTTTTTTTGAGGGAGGGTTTAGTTAGTGCACGATGAATAGTCAAGAGAATCTGGAGAGTGCAAGATCGAGGGGCATCGTACACATACGTGTGGTTTTGTTGCGTGTGCTGTGATATTTAAGCCCGAATGGCTAGTGCTGCCGGTGGGTGGTCTGCTCCGTTGAATAAGTTACGAGTTCGGTCGATGATACTTATATATATTTTTACTCGCTGACAGAGGGTTGAAAATTACTTTACTTTGGTTTGTTTTTGCAGTGGAATGCGTCGTGTTGGTTTGAGAAAAAAAAATAAGAACGATTTTCCAGTTACGTTTAAGAAATCGTGTTTTCAATGTTGAAGACTTACTTGTCAAAGATACATATTTTCTCCGTTAGAGAAAATTGTACCTCAAAACTTTTAATCAGCTAACTGGTTCCTCGGGTGGTGTTTTTCGAGTATCACGAATTTATAGCCACGTGTTCCGTACGCATAAAAAAAAAAAAAAAAAAAAAAAGGAAATTGGATACCCGAAGCGAGTTGAATTTAGATTTTCAATGTAAGCTCATCGAGGCATGCTCGAACGAACCTTTACCTTCGACCAACACGACACAAAATCATTAAAGCATCAGCCTTAATCTTGACACGCGTGTACATAATAATAATAATAATAATAATAATAATAATAATAATAATAATAATATCCAGCTTACGCGAAGATACCGAAGCCCTCCAAGCACCCCTCCAGCGGAAGGGGAAAATATGATTCGTCATAAAATAGAGCCAAGGTAGCGTCTTGGCAATGAATAGCGAGGGGGGAGAAAGGGAGGAGCTCTTGGCGTCTCTCGTCAGGGGCCACGCGATAGGTACGTGAAACGATCAGCTGATGTGACCCGATCCGAGTAAAAAGCTCGGCTCGAGAATCTTTGGGGTGAAATATGTGAAATAAACAAGTGTGACTGAGCGGAAAAATTTACTAGCTGCGCGTAAACGTTAATTCGGGGAGTTGTAGAAAAAAAAAAAAAAAAGTTACTTTTTGTTTATTCCGTACGTAGCATCGATACTTTTCATGCAAGCCTCCTATCGGAGCAGTCAAACGTTTCAAACGCCATTTGAATTTCCAACTGTTCTTCTCGAATTCTTCGTGCGCTCTACTTTGCTTGATTTTTTTTTTTTTTTTTTATTTATTGTTGGATAGGCAAGAAATAGCATGTTTCACTTTTTCATAGATCGCAAGAGTATTCATTGTTATTTGTACTTCCACGATGAAAAACTTTAAAAAAAAATGCCTATAATGCATTATAATTATACTTGGTTACCTTTAAAAGTATCGATGGAAATGAAATTTCAAAGCAGTACCCGTATACGCTGTCCAGTCGTAGAAGCAGAACTAGATTTCAACTCGGTGGTGAAAGAGCACGCAGTGTGGGGCAAAACACGAGCAAAAACTCGAGATAGAGACAGACCGTGCGAGGGAAAATTAGAGCCGTGGACGAGATTTTCGGATGTGTACAGGGGGGAAAACCAGTGAAGCAGTTGATCGTGGGTACGTATAGCTTCGCGAGCACACGTGCAAAGGAAGGGAAAAAACCTTTTAGAGGGGAATCGATAACTTGCGGACGCAAGCTCCTTTTACCAAGCTCACGCAGCATCCACTCGAATAGCGAGAAATTTCTTTCACGGGAGTGTGGGTACGGTGGAGTGCATAAGGGAAGAAATACGATGCGCCGGTGCTCGGTTGCGAGGAAGATTCTTTTGGCAAGCATTATTGTCTAGCTCGGTTTCAATTAATTTGTCGTTTTACTTTTGTTTTACGAGTTCACAGCCACTTGTTCCTTTTTTTTGGGAGGGAAATTTTTAGATTTACATCATTGATAACAATCAAGTCGAATCCTCTTTCGGGCGGAAATGTGCAAAGTTTCGCCGTGGCGTAATTTTCACTGCAGCGAATTGGCTTATAGCTGTGCGGAATGGAAACTACGAACGTGCCAAATTTTAATAAAAATGTCCACCAACTCCCCGCGTTTTTCGTACCAACCGAGTGTGACTTTTTTTTTTTTTTCACCCATAAA